TATTTAAAAATGGCGGGCCCCCCACGGGGGGGGGGGGGGGGGGGCGGGGCGGGGAAAATTGCCATCTCTAAAAGAATTCCTTTCTCCTCAGTATGTTGAGTAGTGAAACGGACACCAAAAAGGAGAGCCTCAAGGCAATTGGGTCATTTTGGTAACAAACCCGTTCAAGCTCGGCCCGCATAATTAACAAGGGAGGCTCAAGCCAATTGGGTCATTTTAGTCCCTTTATTCTTTTATGCATTCTAATTTCTTATCAGACGATTTTTAGAGGAAAATCGATCCACTATTTTCCTTGTCAAGTTCTTTGTTAATTAATTAGTCTATACTCTTTTTTAATGAATTAAAATGTCTTAGTACTCTCTCATTCTTATATTGCAGTTGAAAGAAAATATTTTTCTGTCTATGTCGAAATTTCAGACCAAATTTCATTATTCATACTAATTTAAAGTTTGATCTTGTATTAATTTTAGATTATGAATTGCATGAATATTTTTTTTCTAGAAAGGATTTGTCTTGACATGAAAAAGGAAAAAGAAAATTGAAAAGTTTAATCAACCCTTATTTGAAAACTATTAAATTAAGTCTTTTTTTTGTTTTTTTTGGGGAAAAATGAGTTTTAGAATAGTGATTTTTCGGAGAATGTGTGAATAAAAAGTATGATTTTTTATTTTACGTGCATAATATTTTATTATGAGAATGTGTAGTTGAAAATGAGTTTGAGAAAAAAAAATTCAATTTTAATAGTCGTCAAACAGCAGCTCAATCTCAAGTAAAAGCTATGAACAAGTTTCTTAGCAGAAATAATAATAATAGAAAATAAAATTCAATTAAAGAATTGGTTGTTGAGGAATTTGAAAATGATTGAATGGAATAATATAATTATTGATTTTCTAAAGAAATAAATTATAGAAGGAACATTTGAAAGTTTTAGATTATTATTTTTCTATATTCAACTAGTTTTATTCAAATAAATCTTGTATGATATGATTAAATTGTTATCGATTTTATAGAGTATAATTTTACATAAGATTTAATCTAATCTTGACTATTACTTTAAGGAAAGATTAATTTAATATTAAACATTGCTTAAATCTATTTATTACCATATAAAATAAATTATAAATGATATGATTATATATTTTTATGCTTTAATTTTAGGTAAGTTCAATTCGTGCTTTGTAAATTACTTTACATAAATGAAGCAAGAAATCAAGGGAAGATTAATAGCTTTGAAAAATCTGTTGAAGTTTAGCAGCCACACGTGGGTTAATTACCCCATTAGTCACTGAACTTTACCTAAGGTTTCCAGCAGGTCACTAAACTTCAAAAGTTACGTGGCTAGTCACCGAACTTTCCAGATTGTAATCTCATCCATCACCGAAAAATTAACGTTAATGATGACGT